AAATCTGTCACGTAGGCTCGTAACTGGTGGTTAGACCTCCCCGAGGCTGACTTTGCCTACAATACGTACCCGGTGCTGTGTATAAACTTCAACGCTTTGGGGGGACATTGACGGCCGTGCGAGCGTGGTGCTGGCGACTCACCCCCTCGTGTGCCGTGCCGGCCTTCATTGGTGTTCATAACAGCACTTGCCCCAGCAGTCTGTGTAGGTTATGCAGGGGATTTTTGGCCTTTCTACACACACAACATGTTGTTTCAAACATTTACAAGCTTGGTGTTTATCTTTAGTCTCAAACTTTGAGTCTGATGTGCGTGCACGTGTGCTCGCTCAGTGCACTTGTCCCAACAGCCTCTCTAGGCTATACGGGGAGCTTTGTAAGTGTGCATGCATGACGCGTAAGTCAAATGTGCGACTGACATTGTAAACCTTTCTTATACGTTGTTTAAGTTCCGTTTTTGTCCGTCCACTGCTGGATAAGGGGCTCCCCACGTCTGGCGGAGGCGGGGGCTGGGGTGCTTGTTTGACCATACTTCACCACACTGGTCACTGCACACTGGTGGTGGTGGGGAGCCGACACGTGGGATGAATCTTACAGTGCCCTCTGCTACCCACAGCGTCTCCCCGCGGTAGCCTGTAGCACCTTTTTCTCCCTGTATATGAAAGATATTTACAGTATTTAAGTGTCACGTTAAAACGCTGAGAACAGCAGGTTCAATAATTATCTGCCAACCACACTTTCCCAGCATAGTAATATTTTTCAAACTCGTACAATCGGGTAAATTGTGCTCACAGCTTACCGAGTAATCTGTTAATTGTAATTTAGTTCTATTCCACGTATTCATTCACAAAGTATCCAGAGCAGCCGTACGACGCATAACGACGCAATGTCCCGATCCACAAATACGAAAGCGACCTCACAGAGATGATGCTGATGATGATGATGCACTAACTCCGCTGGCTCCGGACGCGATTGTCTGGGCTTGACCACCTGAATGTGAAATGATCGTTGTTGTTCTTTAGTTCAATAGGGTAAAGTCACGTAGATGGAAACAATAATCTAAAAAATCAAAATAAAGTTAAGACAAATATCACGACGTTTCGATCGCTTGTGTGTGTGTAGGCATCGCTTGTGTGTGTGTAGACATCACTGGTGTGTGTGTAGACATCACTGGTGTGTGTGTAGACATCACTGGTGTGTGTGTAGACATCACTGGTGTGTGTGTAGACATCACTGGTGTGTGTGTAGACATCGCTTGTGTGTGTGTAGACATCACTGGTGTGTGTGTGTAGGAATCACTTGTGTGTGTGTAGGCATCACTTGTGTGTGTGTAGACATCACTGGTGTGTGTGTAGACATCACTGGTGTGTGTGTAGACATCACTGGTGTGTGTGTAGGCATCACTTGTGTGTGTGTAGACATCGCTTGTGTGTGTGTAGACATCGCTGGTGTGTGTGTAGACATCACTGGTGTGTGTAGGCATCACTTGTGTGTGTGTAGACATCGCTTGTGTGTGTGTAGACATCGCTGGTGTGTGTGTGTAGGAATCGCGTGTGTGTGTTTGTGTGTAGGTATCGCTTGTGTGTGTGTGTAGGTATCACTTGTGTGTGTGTAGGCATCGCTGGTGTGTGTAGACATCACTTGTGTGTGTGTGTAGGTTTCACTTGTATGTGTGTAGACATCGCTTGTGTGTGTGTAGACATCGCTTGTGTGTGTGTAGGTATCGCTTGTGTGTGTGTGTGTAGGCATCGCTTGTGTGTGTAGACATCACTTGTGTGTGTGTAGGCATCGCTGGTGTGTGTGTAGACATCGCTTGTGTGTGTGTGTAGGTATCACTTGTGTGTGTGTGTAGACATCGCTTGTGTGTGTGTAGACATCGCTGGTGTGTGTGTAGGCATCGCTGGTGTGTGTGTGTAGGCATCGCTGGTGCTGCGATCGAAACGTCGTGATATTTCTATTCACTCTTTTTTCTATCTACGTGACTTTACCGAAAGAACCAAACAATATGAATTCCTGCAGTCACGAAAGTTTTAAGTCAAAGTTATAGTTGTTGTTGCTCTGCATCTACATCAGCTGTACGAAAGACAAACATTCACATCGTGAACACCACTGTGGTAGTCTGCACAGCGACACGAACTCTCTCTCTCTCCTGAAGCCCTCTCGTCGTGGCCAGTAGCAGGAGACCTCCACGTTGGCATCGAGCTCCTGGACATCTTTGCTGATGCCATCATGCACGCAAGAATGGTAATTTCATTCGTCATCCATGATAGACGGGTTGTTGGGGGGGGGGGGGGGTTAGATCGAGTAAATATACATGTGTCGTGAAACCCGCCACCACCCGCCACAACTAATTAGTAAAGGGTTGTCACGTAGCATGAGGCATGCACATTCGTTACTAGTTCAGCACACCGGTACTACGAACAATTGTAAATGTCGTAGAGGGCTTACTCTCCAACACACCGGCGTGCTGAACTAGTAACGAATTGTCACGTTTTGTTTACGTGACAAACCTTACTAGTTGGTTGTGGCAGGTGGTGGTGGGTTTCACGACACATCGATATGTACGCGATCTAACCCAAAAAAAGCCTTTATTATGGATGATATTGATCGCAAAAGTCCGACTTCGTGTTAAACCAATCCATTCATTGTTTACGCAGTAGATGGCGCTCTGACCATTCACATGAAGTCTAACCCACTGCTCTGTTGCAGTGCTGTGCAAGGAGGGGCCCTGACAGCTGGCAGCGGCCTGGCGGGAGTGGGGGGGGAGGCGGTGGGGAGAGAGGCCTTCATCCAGCAGTGGATTGACCACGGCTGATGATGGTGATGATGAAATATCATTGGGGGAGGGGGGAGATATTAACTACCTCGCCTGGTATACAGGAGGCCGTGGGTTATATCCCAACCCTGACGCCTGCTGTATATTTGGAGTTTGCGTGTCTCTCTCTCTGATCATCATCAAGGTGGCTAGGAGATGTTAACTACCTCGCTTGGTATACAGGAGGTCGTAAATTCGACCCTGACGCATGCTGTATATTTTGGAGTTTGCGTGTCTCTCTCTCATCATCATCACGTTGGCTAGGAGATGTTAACTACCTCGCCTGGTGTACAGGAGGTCCTAGGCTCCATCCTGACCCTGACGCCTGCTGCTGTATATTTGGAGTCTGCGTGTCTCTCTTTCATCATCACGGTGGCTAGGAGATGTTAACTACCTCGCCTGGTGTACAGGAGGTCCTGTACACCAGGCGACTTAGAAACACGAGTTTAGAGTATTTGGCCGCTATAAATCTCCACGTGATGATGATAAGCCACGTGATGAGCCATCGCTTGTGGCCAGGTCGCTTCTGAAAAAGAGCTACGTAGCTAAGTGGGACCTGACCTGGTAAAATAAAAAAATAGTTTCAATACTTTGAGTTTATCCTGGCGCGATCCTTATTTTTGCTGCCTTGCCCAAACTTGATCAATCGGGACATATCGATTTATTATGCAATCATATTTCGAGACTTACTTAACTTGACTCTCTCGAGTTTGCACTCCCTCCCGTGGTTTTTCGTTGGCATAGTTTGCTGTTTGTAACTCACCGGCCCCCCGCTCCATACTGGAAACAAACAAGAGCTTCACAGCTCATCGGATTTCTCCTCGAGTTCTAAAATAAAATATTCCGATTCTAAATGTCTGTCCCTGGCCATGGCCACCGACTTCCAGTCGCCGCTGCTGCTACTCCCAGCGGCCTGGGGGTGAGGGGGGTGAACGTCTGAGTTAGTGGCGAAGTGTCGGCCTGGGAGATTCACACGTTGCCTGGCCGTGCAGCGCCTCAACACGTGGCCCGGCACTGCGAGTCAACACCAAGCCGGGTAGTGGCAGTGAGCACACCTAGCACGGACACTGCCTACATGTGCTGACTTTTAACACGTGTTGTTGTTTCTGCTGCTGCTATAGTTTCCCCGGAGTCCATCACTTTTTTTCCTTTGTACCATTTAGCTCCTGTACTGTACACCTCTGTGTGTGTGTGTTTAACGCTGCTTTTTTTTTGTAAAACTGTCAAATTACTTTTTCCGGAATAAGTTAGTCCGTGACCCGGACACACATAAACATTGTTTGTGTATATGTAGACAAAGTTTGTCCGCAATACCGTTTCATCTTGGTTGCCATGCTGAGACAATCAACTCGCTACATTTGAGCAAGCTCTTTTAATCACAGCTCATGTCTGTGTGAGTCTATGGGTCTCTGTGTGAGCCTATGTGTCTCTGTTTGAGTCTATGGGTCTCTGTGTGAGTCTGTGGGTCTCTGTGTGAGTCTGTGGGTCTCTGTGTATGTGGGTCTCTTTGTGAGTCTATGGGTCTCTGTGTGAGTCTGTGGGTCTCTGTATGTGTCTATGGGTCTCTGTGTGAGTCTGTGGGTCTCTGTGTGAGTCTGTGGGTCTCTGTGTGAGTCTGTGGGCCTCTGTATGAGTCTATGGGTCTCTGTGTGAGTCTATGGGCCTCTGTGTGAGTCTATGGGCCTCTGTGTGAGTCTATGGGCCTCTGTGTGAGTCTTTGGGTCTCTGTGTGAGCCTATGGGCTTCTGTGTGAGTCTATGGGTCTCTGCGTGAGTCTATGGGTCTCTGTGTGAGTCTTTGGGCCTCTGTGTGAGTCTATGGGCCTCTGTGTGAGTTTCTGGGTATTTGAGTTTATATGGATCTCTATGTGAGTCTATGGATCTTTACGTGAGTCGATGGGTCTCTATGTGAGTGTACAGGTATCTGTGTGAGTCTATGGACCTCTGTGTGAGTCTATGTGTCTTTATTTTATTACATGGGTCTTTGTGAAAGTCTGTGGGTATTTACGTGAGTCTATGGATATCTGTGTGAGTTACTGCTGACCAGGCTGAGACCATAAACCCACTACCCTAGAGAACCCGGATTCGAACCCAGGCTCTCAGCGGTGCCGGCTCAGCGTCTGTGCACGACCACGGTGAGCCCGTGACTCTTTAAGGGTGTACACAAATCACACGCGCAAACTCACGGTCTCACTCACAACTCGTATTTATTACATCACGCTTATAAAACGTATACACGTATTTAAATATTTGTTTTTTTTTACATATGTCAGAGGGTTGATGTACAAAGTGCGAGACAATAAATAGCAACAACAACAAGCACGACAACAAGACCGCACCGGAACTATGAACACGCATTCAGAATAGCGACGCGAGCTCCCGTCACGTGACGCGCGCGACGCACGTAAGGCACGTGACGCACGTAAGGCACGTGACGCACGTGACGCATGGTGACATGACGTTGCGCACGTGACGTAGGTGACAGACGTTACGCACGTGACCCAGGTGACCCAGGTGACGCACGTTTCCCCGCCAAGTGTTGACACGTGCGGGAATGAAACCGGAGCACGCGGAACAAAAACCCACGCGTGCCAGAGTGGGGAGGGGGGGAAACGCTCTATCCCGTACAGACGAAACAGACGGAGATGAGTCCACACACTCCGCTGTGCCGCGTTCTCCTGTCGAGCCAGGATTCGGCCTACTCCTCGAGGCCCACCCACGGGTAAGGAAGGGAGTTTCGCACCCCATCTGCGTGGCGATCCACCAACCCTGGCTGCTGCCTGCACAGCTGCTGGATCACGGGCAGCGGCGTAGCCTCCCCCATCATCTCCGTGAACGCGGGGACGAGTGTAAGCGCGGCGTGCGCGTTGAAACTTCTTTCGCACCGGATGTAGCCAACTGCGCTGGGCGTCGAGCGACGTCGGGCGACCTTGAGGGGCGTTGAGGAGCGACGTCGAGCCATGTTCAACGACGTCGAGCGACGCCGAGTGACGTGGAGCGACGTTGAGTGACGTTGAGCGACGTGGAGCGATGTCGAGTGACGTCGATTGATGCCGAGCGACATCGAGTGACGTTGAGTGACGTCGAGCGACGTCGAGCGACATTGAGGGAAGTCACTCCTCCACGTGCTCTCGCTCGTCCTCGCTGTCCTCCGAGTCGCTCTCCTCGCTGTCCGAGTCGCACAGGGCGATGGTGGCCTGCACGGGGAAGCCCTCGAGGAGGCGCTCCCCGTCGGCGTACAAGTGGTCAAAGACGCGCGACCGGGACCAGTACAGCCTGGCGGAGCACACGCAGACACACGGGGGTCAGTCTGTCAGCTGGGTATCACATGGCTATCATTTCTGCTGGTCATGCTATCGGTTGGTTATCAGATGGTTATGCTGTCAGCTTGGTATTCTATCAGCTGATTTATGCTATCAGCTGGTTGTCAGATGGTTATGCTACCAGCAGATTATGATTTCAAATGGTTGTGCTATCAGCTTGTGATGCTATCAGCGTGTTATGCTATCAGCTGGTTATCAGCTGGTTCTGCTATCAGTGCGTTTTGCTATCTGACAGGGGATTTACTTTCAACCGAGCCTGTCTGGTTGAGCGACCTGACTTTATATTCAGCACCCAGCACACCACATCCAGTATGACGGTGGCTACAGGTCACGTGTCACCTTATGGTCTGCCACTGACTGTATCAGTGCATACCCTTTGGGTCTTTCGGTAAAGCCGCGTAGATAGAACAAATAATAAAAAATAATAACAATATCACGACGTTTCGATCGCAACACAAGCAATCGTCATCAGGTGAAACATATAGCGGGAGAGCTGCTGAGAATATAGGTGGTTATGCTATGCCATGATGATGACGGTTATTATTACTGGATGAGAGCGAGGAGCAGATGCTCAGCAGTGACACGGCGTTACGAGTTCAAATCGTCGCAATGCGATTCGCATCCTGGTTAAATTCAAATGACTCGATGATGATGATGATGCCGATGATGATGCCGATGATGATGATGACGATGCTTCGTGCACGATCCACCTATCGATCGCTGACGTGCCCCTACTGAACATCTGTGTAAACAGAAACAAGAGCTTCACAGCTCATGCGATTCCTCGTGCAGTCTAAAGAAAGATTGGGAGTCGTCTCGTGGCGGTGTGGAAACGCCGACTCACTTGACTGGGTGTTTGAATGACAGCTTGCTGGCGGGTTTCTGGACTCGCCGTAAATGCTGTCTTAATGTCTCCTAAACGGCACGCGAACACACACACACACATTCACTCAGTTTAGCATCGTCAGCGAAAATAATAATAACGATATTATCCATAACACAGCCATTTAGTATGGCTTGTCACGTATTCAAACTGTAAATGTTGTGGATTCACTCTTCAACACACCGGTGTGCTAAAGTAGTGAACTAGTTGTCTTTTGTCAACGTGACACTTTTTTTGCTGATTGGCCGTGTCGGGTGGTGAAGGGTTACGACACATTTATAATTAACGCGTTCTAACCCAAAAACCTTTATTATGAATAATATTGGTCGCGAAAGCCTACGCGTTAAAATTAAACGCACTACAACATTTACAATTCTGGTGCCGTGACGTTTCGCCGGTACATTACAACAACAAAAACCACCACCAGCAGGAGCATCAAGGCGACGGCCAGAGGTGTGGAGAAATCCTCCTCCCTGATTCGCTCTTAAGTCGAGGAGAGGGTGAGGTGTGACGTCGTCACTCGTGAGCCAATCAGGCGCGAATGCCAGAGGGTTAACACAATGATATTGTGAAACGTGTTGACATTGTTATTAACTGTGTTTTATAAATGTACAAAAGAGGCAAAGGTGCAGCCGGGCAATTGACATCTCACGCCGCTGCACTCATCATCTGTGATCCAGGGCGGTTGTAACTTATGAAACGTACTGGAGTAGTTGCGTTTGTCCTTCCTTGAGAATCTCCGAATGAGCACTCTTCCCAAGGTCTCCACAGTTTGCAGAGGCTGTGATAAGGAGGACAATTTGAGTCAATTATCAGCAGCAGCATCATCGTATTCATCAACAGCAGCAGTCGCGCCACAACTAAAAGCTGCAATGTTATCAGCAGCAGCAGCATCATCATCAGCAGCAGAATCATCAGCAGCAGTAGCAGCATAATTACTAGCAGCAGTGCCATCAGCATCAGCAGTAACGTGCCAATGCATTGTTAGATACTAAAGCACAGGACGTGTGAGGTTTCACGACAATAATTTTGTTAAATTCTCATTTGCTGATGATAATGCCACTGATGATGATCATCATGCTGATGATGGTTGCTGATGTACATCACCGCCGTGTGTCTCTACACAGCACTCGCTATGCAACGTGGCCCCTCGAGGTGCCTCGCAAGCGAGATGCCTCGGGCGTCGTGCACGGCAGGGAAAGATCTTTGAATCGCAGTCGGCGGACAAGAAGAGAGAAACCCCGGGGTCAGCGACATCCCATCGCGCCGTTACAAAGACAAAGTTCCCCCGTACAGCCTGAGCAGGCTGTTGGGGCAAGTGCTGTTAGCGAGTAGCACCTGTGAAGGCCGGAACGACATGCGAGGGGGTGGGTGGCCAGCACCACGCCCGACCGCCTTTGTCTCCCCAGTGGCGATGTTTACACACCGCCACCAGGTATTAATTTGAGGCTGAGTCGAACTAGGGGAGGCCCAGGACCGGTTCAGATAATCGTCACCGGTGTTGGTGGCCGTGAACGGGAATCGAACTCGGGTAGCATTCGGCGCCTCTTTTAGGGACTGCTCCGTGACACGCTACGTACATGCGCGTGCGTGTGTGTGTGTGTGCGTATGCGTGCGTGTGCGTGTGTGCGTGCGTATGCGTGTGTGTGTGTGCATTCACAATTGCATTGCGGCCCTTGTAAGTATTTTGTTGTTACCCAATTCGAAAGTAAAAGTCGCTTTTTGTTCCTTAGGTTGGCGGTTCCCGCCCCCCCCCCCCCCCGTGCTATAAAGTTGACCTTGAGGCACACGTGTCAGTCCGGCCTGTAAGCTTTTACAACAACACAAACATCCGAAAACCATACTTTTCTTTGAATTCTTCACTCGGGCCACCAATCAAATGACAGCCCAGAAGGTTTCGGGACCTACAGGTTCCAACTAACTCCCCCCCTCACCATCAGTGAACCGAGTAATTCGCCTACCTCCGAGTGTGACCCGAACCCCAATCGAAATGAGAAGTTGCCTGCTAAGCCACTAACACGCACACGATGCCCTTAACTTATTTTAGGCCGAGTCGGGCTAGGGGAGGCCCAGCGCCTGTTCAGATGCTGTACTCGTGGCTGGGATTCAATAGCGCAGTGCGCTAACCTCTACGCCACCGCTCCCCACACGAATACAACTACAAAGACCCCCGTATAGCCTTTACTAGACCATTGGGGCAAGTGCTGTTAGCGAGCATCTACGGAAGGCCGGAACTGCACGCACGAGAGGGTGGCGTGGCAAACACCACTCCCGAGCCGCCTTTGTCTCCCCACTTCAGATTTTTACGCACCGCACCAGCTCCTCATTCATTATGGCTGAGTCGACCTAGGAGATGGGGTGGTGGTGGTGGGACTTAGGACAGGTCCAGACAACCAATCGCCGGGTTCGTAGCGCCGCGCGCCAGACCGCTGCGCCACCGCTGCCAGGGACGCGATGGGATCGCCCCGCCGGAGCCGCCGAGCGGCAGCCCGCGTTGGGAGCGGCCGTGGGGGGTGGCGGTGACAGTGCCGCGACGCACGAGGACGCTCACCTTGGACGCCGGCCTCCTTCGCTGGACGTCGCTTGACCGGCGCGGCGTTGCTTGATGGGCACAGCGGCAGCATCAGCAGCGGCAGCTGCAGCAGCAGAAGTAGCAGTAGCCATCGCGAACTCGAGCTACGACAGAGATAGAGACAGAGCCTCGAGACGTAGCGGACGGGCGGTAGTGCGTGATGACTCTGTTGTCAATCGTCGGCCGCTTATATAGCGCGAGCCGGCACATGTCCAGCACCTAGGCTGGCACGGGGCGGAGGGATGTTGGGGGGGGGGATTCGGGGGGTAGCGGAGGGGGCGGGGTGTGAGCGCGCAGAGGGGGGCCGTGATGAGCCTCTGTGGGGAGCTATGAGCCATATGGCGTGCCTGCTGGGTCCGTGTGGGTGGGTGGTGGGGAGCGGTGGTGTAGCGGTTAGCGCGCTGCGCTACGAATCCGGCGACCCGAGTTCGATTCCCGTTCACGGCCAACACAAGTGACGATTTATATGAGTCGGTCCTGGCCCTCCCCTAGGTCGACTCGGCCTCAAATGAGTACCTGGCACAAGCGACGCGGTGACGTTATGATCACTTAGTGGCGAACGGTGGCTGTTGTTGTGTGTGCACGTGTCTTCGTGGATGTGGGGAGCGGTCCCGGGCCTCCCCTAGGTCGACTCAGCCTCCAATTATTACCTGTCGCGGTGTGTAGTAAACATCGGCAATGGAGAGACAAATGCGGCCGGGCGTGGTGCCGGCCACCCATCCCACTCGTGTGCCGTTCCGGCCTTCAAAGGTGCTGCTGGCTTAACAGCACTTGCCCCAACAGTCCGTCGCAGGCTACACGGGGTTGGAGGGGCGGGCTTTGTCTTTGTCGAGATTGTTGGAATGGGTTGCGAATTATCCTCACTGTGGGAGAACGGTGTCAAGAGTAAACAGCCCCGCGTGGGAAATCTGCCACCTCGGTAATCACAGGGCGTGCGAGGGCCTCGCCTGCTGCGCTTCGCTGGGCTGTCCGCGACCGAGAACTCTTGTTTCCACATTGAGACGATGCGGTGAGCACACTCGCATCTTACACAACTCGGCATCGGCTCGGGACCCCCTGTATATCGTACAGAGAGAAAGAGAGAGAGATAGAAATGACCCTTGCTTCTGTGTTCACCAGCATATACGCAACGAATTCCTGCAGACTCTGCCGATGAAACCATGAATGTCGAAGGCCCGTCCGTAGTGTTGTTTTTCTTGGATCAATGCAGCTTTAAATGATGAACTCTCAGAATTGCGTGCGGCTGATGGGACGTGTAAGCAACGCGTTCTAGCGTGGAGAGACGAAGCCTGCGAAGGAGACATCGTCCGCTGGTTTTATTTCAGGTTTTAATTCAGTAACATATATAGAGCCATTTTTTTCTTCTTTTTTTCAAACGTGACCAAAAACGAGGAGGAGAGCTGGTGGAATTGAAGTGATCTGAGAAGGGCGGAACTTGATAGCGACAATCGACGAACCCCTGCGCCTAAAGAACACGGCGCTACTACTGCTGGTGTGTTTTGTTTATTTTAATCAAGCAGGGCCCCAGTGAGACGTGTCGCTCATGGTTTCACACAAGCGACCTGGCCACAGGCGATAGCCCGACGAAGTGGCTTATCGTCACGTGGACATTCATAGCGGCGGTCAAAGACTCTGAACGCGTGACGTCGATTCGAAATGTGGAGGGCCGCGAGACAAAAATCCACGCGACCACGGGGGGGGGGAGAGAGAGAGACACCGCAAACTCCAAATATACAGCAGCGGCAGGCGTCAGGGTTGGTATCGAAGGTATTTAAAATCGTGACCACTGCCTGCTATTGCACACGAACTACGTGGTGATTTTGCTGCTGCGTTTGGCACATGCACAATTAACAACAATAACAACTTCACCACATAATAGAGGTTTTTTTGGGTTAGATCGCGTAACTATATCAATGTGTCGTTAAACCCGCCACCACCCGACACAGCCAACTAGTAAGGGTTGTCACGTAAACTGAACGTGCCCTTCTCACCACTGCCAACATCATCATCATCAGGTTGACTTCTTCAATGTTTTAACCTTTGTGATACTTCTTCGTTGGCCGCTCTTTGGGTCCAGTCTAGATGCGGTATCCTTCTCTAGCAATGCATTTAGAATGTACGGTGATATACATTGTGAACGTTCGCGTGCGTGTGCTAGACGTATTCCTTTTGCTTCCAAGGTACCCTTTTGTGTGTATACATTTCACAGCTGAAGGCTGGATTAAAACGTGGACGCGATGGGGTGGAAGCCGCAACGAACGCATTAAAGAATTAATGCACACGTGCCCGAGAATTCCCCGAAAGCAAATTGTTATTGCAGATGCTCGTGGCTTAGCGTCACGCACATGGCCCGGGCTGGGCATGTTTTGAGTTGAAACGGGGTGGTGGTGGCGGTGGTGGTGCAGTGTGTTGTGGATTAACTTGCCGTGTGGTCGGCGCAGCGGGGGGTGATGGAGAGTCCTTTAGCAGCAGGGGAAGGGAGCGAGGCAGGGCTGTGCGAGAGATAGAGGACGAGAGAAAGAGAGCGGTGGCGCAGTGCTTAGCGCACTGAGCCACATACCCGGTGACCCGAGTTCGATTCCCGCTGTCTCTGTCCCGTGAACTCATGTCAGCGAGCCTTCGACACTTCACGTTGACGGCCTTAAAGTGCACCTTGCCTGGCACAAGCGCCGCGGTGACGTTGCGGGCGGCCGTTGTTGTGTGTGCACGTTGTCTTCGTGGATGTGCAGAGCGGTAGCGTAGCGATGATGGCGGTGCACTACACCCAAGTTCGACTCCCGCTCACGGCCATGACCAGTGACAATTATATAAAATGGTGCCGGGCCTCCCCTAGGTAGACTCAGACTCAAATTAATACCTGGTGCACCGTGTAAACATCTCCATTGGGGAGACAAAGGCGGGCGGGCGTGGTGCTGGCTACCCACCCCCTCGTCGTGCCGGCCTTCATAGGTGCTCGCTGACGGCACTTGCCCCAATAGTTTGTTACGACTATACGGGGGATCTTTGTCTTTGAGAGAGAGTAATATGTTGAGAGGGACGGTGAGATGGTGAAAGAAAGTAATTGAGAGGAGGAGAGGGCGAGAGAGAGCGGGGGAGAGGGTGAGTGAGTGAGAGGGGGTGAGAGACAGAGCGGTTAAGAGAGAGGATGATAAGGAGAGGGTGAGAGAGAGGGTGAGAGGGAGGGTGAGTGGGAGCGATGGTGAGACGGTGAGAGAGGGTGAGAGGGTGAGTGGGAGAGATGGTGAGACGGTGAGAGAGGGTGTGAGAGGGTGAGAGAGAGGGTGAGTGGGAAAGATGGTGAGACGGTGTGAGAGGGTGAGAGGGTGAGTGGGAGAGATGGTGAGACGGTGAGAGAGGGTGTGAGAGGGTGAGAGAGAGGGTGAGAGAGAGGGTGAGAGGGAGGGTGAGTGGGAAAGATGGTGAGACGGTGAGAGAGGGTGAGAGAGGGGGTGAGAAAGAGGGGGTGAGAGAGGGATTGAGAGAGGGGGTGAGAGAGGCAGTGAGAGAGGGGTGAGGGAGGGGCTGCGAGTGAGAGAGGTGTGAAAGTGTGGCCCTCCACGTGCCGAGCGGAACGCCTCTGCCGCACGCTGTTTTCTCTCCTTGTCTGGAGCCCGCACGAGGGAGTGGCACCAACAAGGTAATTAATTATCTAAAATGATTTATAGCCCCAATCCACGATGCTGCGTTCCCATTGACGCACGGCATCGCGCCCGGCCGCCTTTGTCTCCCCGCCGTCGACGCCGAGTCGACCCCGAGGGGACGAGGCCCCGGGGGGGGGGGGCTGGTTCTGGATATTCGTGAGCCCCGTTGGCCGTGAGCGGGAATCGAACCCAGGTGGCCGGGTTCGTTGTCGGCGGCACGGAGAGCTCGCAACCACGAGGACACAGCTCGTGTTCTTTGAAGTAGGGTCGTTCCCCGAAACGTCGCCTATTAAGCCACTTAGTTGAACTATCATTTGCGGCCAGGTTGCTTCTCAGTGGGGCCTTACACCTGGCAAAATTAAAATATCGTTTAAAAATATTTTGTATATTTTAAGGTCACAGTGTTATTGACGAATGTGTTAAATATTATATGTGAAAACGTGTTTATATTTAGTATTTGCGCCATTCGTAGATCGTGGTGTTTCCCATTTGCTATGTGTAGTCAGCACATCATCCCTCTGGGGTCGATAAAATAACTCCCTCTTTGTGGCTAATTCAACAACCGTTATTCTACAGACACACTCGCCCGCCTCTTTAGCCCCTACCACCCTCGCCCCGCCGTAGGAATGTGGAATGTCCACCTCTTGTTCAGACCTGTAAAGAGAAGGAGCGCACCAACGGCTACATTCTCATATCGACAATAATTTACGTTCGTCAATTGTATTTCGTAATGCTGCCTTGGGTGATTGTAAGTCCAAAGTGATTCACATGAATATACTCTGTAAATCATTAATCAAATATGCTATTATAGGCAGCAGTCTTGAGATTCGGCGAGGCTTGCCTGAATATATTTGGGGTTTTAAAATCGATTAGGTTGCATTTCCGATCACCGTAACAGTACACAAACCGGTAATAACCGGTTACCGCTTCGCAACTCCGTACGTATATAAATGTCTCGAGCTAATACTCGTTAGGCGCTGTTCACCTTCTCGACGGAGAGACGTAAGTAGCTGGCACAACCGCGGTGCCAGTTTCAAAATCTGCGTGGTCACACCGCCAACTGACGTTCAATTGGAGAGACCTGGGTTACCGATTCACGATTACCCGGTTCATTGGTAACACAAACTTGTCAACCCCTTATCAGTGCCCTACCTTATTATAAACCAATTCAGACCCTTATCGGTCACCCCGTGCCCCCTTATAAATCTCAAAGTTCATCCTACAAAGTCCCATCACAAGGGAAAAACACAAATAGACCAAAACAATATTTATGCCCGTATTGAAACGGCTGTACGCCGTGTGGACTTTGGAAACTCAATTTTCCTGTACAATAATACGGGGAAACCGTATGGGCTGACAGGTGTGGGTAATCGATTCCCTGAACCGGTAACCGATTCAGGGAGACAGCTGAACAAACGGTTACCGGTTTTGTCATTTCGAACGGCCGCAGTACGAACGCCATTATTGCAACGTGTGGTGACCCTGCCGACTGTGGACACCCCCCACCAACCACTACCAGCCCGCAACCCGTAACGAAAATAAACAACGAGCGTGCGAAGACAATCAATTGATTA